TCACTCCAGCAAGTGTACTGGCATGGAATGTCACTCTGGACTGATGGTCTTGTCTGACTTCTGTTAACTGCTCCTATGGGACAAGAAGAGAGAATTCTAGCAGGAATTTCATAATGCTTAGTAGTCATTGAAGATAATTTCACTTTAAGGCAGGTGGCTTTGAGCTGTGGCCTTGCTGGTGGGTTGGTGTTACAGAGTGATCCATAAACAGCTCACTCACAATCTACCAGCTGTGTGGAAACATTTAGAAGTTAATTGTGCGCTTGGTTACCCAAAATTAGTCATTCTGAAACTCAGAGGTGTCTACGGCATGGAGAGGGAGAGTGATAAAGTACAAGCATTCATTAATTTAGACAAAAATGGTTGTCCAGTTTAGAAAATAACTGGGTGCTTTGCCTTTGCATATCCAAGCTTATGATGTGCAATACAGGCACCAGAATTCCAAGCAGCATTTGTCCTGATTCAGGGTGATCACTTCTCTGGCTGATAGAGCTGTCATACCTGATCTTGGGTAAGGCATCGCTTTGACAAAAGCCTCACTAAAATCTCTCCTGTTGTTGTTGTTGTTGCAGTGACTGGTGCCAGTTTCTTTGTGTTCAGTGGAGCTTTAAAATCCTCTTCAGGCTACCTTGCCAAATCCAGTATTGTGGAAGGTAAGAACTGAACTGCTTGCTTAAAACACACTGCTCTCTTTGCCCAGCTCAGCTCTGCCGCTAGCAGGGCTCTCTCTGCTCATATGCCTTGGGCTTTGGAGTCTTGCTGCTGCTTCAGCTTTATCCTACTTAGCAAAAACCACCCTGTTCCCTTTAACAAGGAGGAATTTGTGCAGATGCTGCAAAACAGGGTCACAAGAAAATGAGGGTAAGATACTAAATACTTGGCTTGGGAGCCTGTGATCAATTCACTGGTTTGGGTTGAATGAGGAAATTGTGAGCCTAAGAAATGCAGAATGTATAATCCATCAAACAGCAGCAGAAGCCCTGCTAAAATTCCTCTGTTACCAAATAGCTCTGCAGTGTGCAAGGGTGTGAATGTGCATTGTTTATGTGCTTGTATGTGGGCAGATGAGAACATGACAGGTTGAGATCACTGAGCTGGTCCCTCTCAGATCTGGTTTGTTGTATCACAGAAAGATACAACAAACAAAGAAAGGCGCCGGGGTGCTCCAGCTGAAAGCTGTTAGTGCCTGCTAGCTGAGCTGCACAACTGTGCAGTCAGGTCCCTGCAGCTGTGACAATGCAGGCAGGAGAGCTGTAGCAGTGCTCCTGCCCTCGCTGGTGAGGGATGCCAGGTGCCCACATGAGCAGTCAGTTGGCAGAGCCCCGAGGGTGAGCAGGAGCTCCTCCTGCTGCACCAGCTCCAGGCTCGCAGCTCTCAGTGTGTGGCCATGGCTGGGTCCCTGGGCTGACAGGCAGCCCATGCCACCAGAGCATGCAGGTCACTGTGCCCTTTCCTGTGTCTAGCTGGTGCTGAGGGTAAGACAGAGGCACAGGGGGACTCCAGCTCTATGTGGAGAAGTGTTTCACTTCTGTTATTTTAGCCGTAACTCAGGCTTGACCCAAAGTGGTGCTGGGTTAATGGCTGGACTGGATGATCTTGGAGGTCTTTTCAACCTTAATTCTGTGAATCCAAATTCTGTATCTTTTGCCACTGTCAGGAAAGCACTGACTTCTGAACCACTGTCACTGCTGGAGTGCTGCTTCCAGAGCCAACAGAGATGGCTGAATGGAGTGGTGTCACCTGGGGTTTCTGAGGGTGGCCTAGGGCAGCTGTCAGGTTGTGAGGCAAACTCACGGGGACTTTGCTACGGCTGACTTCACCTGGGAGCTGCCCTTCTCTTACTGTTGTGTTTTCCCTCATCAGCACTCAGCAAGTTTGCGTTTTAGGGATGTGAGTGTTCAGAAATGGGTTTATGAAGCACTGCTGCCCATGATGCTTAAAATGAACATTTAATGTCTGCAAACAGAGGGAGGATGTTTATTTTTTTTCTACATAGGCTCTGTTTGGCATGGCTTATCTTGGTTTATAAGGACTTCTTGGTTCCCTAGATGGAGTGATGGTCCAGATAACTGCTGAGAACATGGACTCTTTGAGACAGGCCTTGAGAGAGATGAAAGACTTCACCATCACCTGTGGCAAAGTAGATGCTGAAGACCCTCAGGAACACGTTCACATTCAATGGGTAGAAGATGATAAAAACTTTCATAAGGGGTAAGTAGAGGAGCAGTCACTTGACATTGGTGCCTGTTAAAAATTTTAATTGATTTTCTAAGGCCCGTGAGTCTTCAAATCAATAGGAATTAAAAGTCTGCACTTCTATTTTGAGTGATAAGATGTAATTAATTGTAATGGAAATGGAATTGAGATACCAGAGCTTTGGGGCATCCATTTAGAAAATTGGCAATGCTGTGGATTTTTTTGGCATTGCCAATATCCAGTTATTTGAAACCAGTAATCTGTCTCCAGCTCTCAGTGCTGAACCCTGCACACTGTGGTCACTTTGCTCTGCTGGTGCTTAGTTTGCATTAAGTAGAGTTGGAAACAAAATTGCTGAACATCGACAGTATCTTTAGACACTTAAAGTTAAGCCAAAAGAAAGGTGGATTTGGCAGCTGAAGTATTTATGACAGTAAAGTGATGGATTCCATATTTCAGGAATCAGCACCTAGAAAGGATATTTCTGTAGTTTTGGGCTCTCCAGATCAATCTTAGGGTCTGCAATCAAGTCCTGGCTTGTGTAAGTTGTGTTTCAGGTATTGATGGCCTACATTGAGTTTAGGAATGAATAGAAGTCCAACCTGTATGAAATACCTCATTACTCTGTCAGAACCTTACAGGATCTCAGCTGTGCTGCAAAGCTTTGTTGAGAATCTTCAGGAAGGTCCTTCCTGCACCTGCATTGTGCGTGTGACCCCTTTCAGGAACTGCCCTCTAATTCCAAGGTCATTCTCTTCTACAGAGGGCTCTGTCCAGCTCAGGCCTTGTGCTGAGTCACAGTTCACTCTCCTCCTTCCCTTTTGCAGCGTTGTGAGCCCTATTGATGGCAAGCCCATGGAATCTATAACCAGCGTGAAGATATTCCACGGCTCCGAGTACAAGGCCAACGGGAAGGTCATCCGGTGGACAGAGGTGGGTCCATCAGCCCGGCACGGGGGCCAGCTGCTCCCCCATTCACCACAAGAAAGCAGCACATGCTTCCCCACCAGCCTTTCCTGTGGTGCCTTTCACAGGGAGCTGCAGGGTGGCATCCTGCGGGACAAAACATCCTCCCACTGCATGTGCTGCTCCGGCCACTGCTGCTCACATCAGGGTTGTTCAGCATGGGGGGACTACAACAACACTCGCTGTGTTACATACAAGAACAGTTGGCTTCATTTGTCTTTGTGTTAAAAGCTGCCTTTCTACATGGAGACAAATCTTAATATAAATTGTTTTTTAATGAAATGTTATTTTGAGCCACTTTCTCTAAAATGTTGCATGTTATAGTGCTGTGGCATAAATCACTCAGAAACTGCTTGCATGGCTGATGTTGCCTGTGACTGTGCCAGCAGACAAATGCTGATGTCAAAATATTTCTGTAAGTGTTTCAGTTTGCCTGCTGAGGAGGAACCAAGTTCCTTATTCTGCAGCTCAGCCCCTGTGTGCCCTTTTTCCCCGGGTCACTTGGGCTCAACAGAAACAAATTCAGTGACAAAAATAGAAGAGATCTTTGGGCTTACATTAAGTGTAATTTTTCTGAACTTAAAAACCTGTTTTTGAACAGATGTTATTAAAACCACGTGTCATACATAGTGAATTTCCATAGCAAGGCTTTTGACCAGATCTGAGGTTTCAGAGGATAATTTAAATTCAAATCTTTCTTCTGAAATTTTTTTATTTTTTCCTCCCTAAGGTGACTTGTCAACCAAATTTTCTAGAGACGCCAAGTGTCATGTCTTATGTTCCCTTCAGGTGTTTTTTCTGGAAAATGATGAGCAACACAATGGTTTGAGTGACCCAGCTGATCACAGCAGACTGACTGAAAATGTGGCAAAAGCTTTCTGTCTGGCTCTGTGTCCTCATCTGAAACTGCTGAAAGAAGATGGAATGACTAAGCTGGGTCTGCGTGTTACACTGGATTCTGATCAAGTAAGTCTTCAGTAGTCTGGGTTTAACTGGGGGGTTGTTTTCTTGTTCATTTCCCAGAAAAGGAATACACCACTTTAACCAGGAGAATGCTGAAGAAGTACCAGTATCAGATGCTAATCAGATGCTGCTGCTGTTGTTTGGTATTTTGGGACATTTGTTGGAGCCAGTGCCCAGCCTGAATTAACACAGGCTTGACCCCCATATGGCATGAGCAGCATCTGCTCCGTGCTCAGAGAAGATTCTTAATTGGCCTTTTTGCCAGTAATTACTGCTGTGTGAGAGTCCTGCTCATCCCAAGGAGCTGCTTTGAGAAAAGAGGAGAAAAAAGAGGCTCCTTTTGCTCAGGCAGCCACTGGGACCACAAGGAAGCACAAAGACAAGTGGAAAAGCTGCTTTAGTGCCTGCTTGGTCCAGTTTGAGTTCCTGACTTCCTGGAAGATGCCACAGCTCCTCCTCCCTTCCTGCCCCCTGACTCATAGCCTGGTGTCCTGTTCTTAAAACCCACTCTTTGTATTTTTTAGGTTGGTTATCAAGCTGGGAGCAATGGACAGCCACTGCCCTCTCAATACATGAATGACCTGGACAGTGCCTTAGTGCCAGTGATTCATGGAGGGGCCTGTCAATTGAGTGAGGGGCCAGTCATAATGGAGCTCATCTTTTATATTCTGGAAAACATCTCATAAGAGGACTTCATTTTCTGTTCAGACCTGTTCCAGCAGCAGTTGTATCTGAATCATTTGCACTTTAAAACTGGAAAATTAAGCTTTTGTTAACACTATTGGGGAAGGGGGGGGAGGGGGGGTGGGACAGTTGTTCCATAATTCTGAATCTTCTATGCATTGTCAACAACCAGAGGATCAGGGCAGCTTCTATACTACAACATGGCTATGCTATCCTTGCAGCTAATCCACTTCTGTTACTGTTTAGAAAAATGCTCATGTTTAAAGACTTACAGTCATGTACTCTCAATGCTCAAAAGGGTGCAAAGATCACTGGGGCGTAAATAAAAAGTGAAATTCCAACCTTGTACTGTCTGTAGATGGACATGTAAGAAACAATCAAGACCTCCATTCTGACCTCATCCTAATGCCATCTGTGTTTTTTCTGTAGACATTAAAAAACAACGTTTACATTATTTTGACCAGATTATTGGTTGAAATACGTTTGGAGAAGCCCTTGAAAGATAGGGAAAGATTCCCTAGCCATAACCTTGTTTGTCTGTGCGTCCAGAGGAGCAGGACAGGCATCTCTCTGAAAGTTACTGAAGTGCAGTTGTGTGTGTGTAATAGGCTAGTTTCCTTCTCCTGTATTTATCACAAAAGTCCGTCACTGGGGCAGGTTTCTGTGATCTCCTACAACAACTCTGCTATTCTGTACTTTGTTTACAAATCTGTCTGAAGCAGAGGAAAGATCAGCCCTAAAGTGCAGTCCCATCTTGTTCCTTGTCCCCAGTAGGTCCTGCTTTTTAGAGGCAAGTCCCACCCAGGGCATCTCTGTCCCCTCCCTGCTGTTCGCTGTAGTGTAATGCCAGTGTCATGTAACCCAAGCCAGCTTGCACTTCTTATTGCAGCCCCATGTCCAAGCTTACCTGTGATACCAGTGTAGAGTGGCTGTTCCTGCATGTTCTGCTGAAAAAGGCTTTGTGGTCAGTTCTGAACACGTGCACTCGGCCCAGTGCTCTTGATCTCACCTAAGAGGGCTTTGGTAAGGAAAGCAGCTGCTCGTGTCTGCCAGGGCATTAAGAAGCTGGAATTGAGCATCAGCCAGAGGAAATGTGGTTCCATGTTCTTACTGTCTCCATGGAAAGCTGCTAACCAGTGGCAAGAGCTGTAAGCAGGAGAAGGGGTTTGGTTTGTTTAGCCAGTCATGCAAAGCAGCTCTTTTGAGTCCCTCCCAGGAAGAGGGGTGAAGGTTTCTCCTCCTGTCTAGAGCTAATTAATTTGGGAAGACAGGTGCTAATTTATGGTGGATGTTTGTGGTGTCAGACATTCCCTACTGCCATCCCTTCTGGGGGCAGCAGTGGGGCCTGGTTGGGCTGTGCTGTGACAGAGTAACACCAGTGGCCTTGCAAAGAGAAAGGGAAGGGCCACAGGCCCCTGTGAAACTGAGGCTCTGGTGATATATTTTATAGAAAAGCAGCCTAGCGCCTGCACAGAGTGCACTCGGGAATAAATGGCTGCTGCTTTTCAAAAAACTAAGTATGACAAATCCAATGTTCCAAATCACAGCTGGCACCACCCAACCCTTGAAGACAGGCCAGGGAACTGGGGCCAACTCCACAAACAAAAGCTGGCCAGCAAGAGGGAGCACACTACCACACTTTAAAGGGTGTCGGATCCAAGTGAAGCCTTCTCTCTGGCATTTGGGAGAGGGTAAGTGATTAATGCACCTCATTGAGTGGTTCCTGCTGGCCAAAGCAGGAGCTGTGACCCACCCCCTGCTCCTGCCAAGGTGCCTGTGCAGCCCAGCTGGACTGAGGCCACTTGATGCCCGTCTGCACCCTGGTTCTGCACACGCTGGGACACAGCTCAGCACAACACGATGTAGGCACAGTTCCACAGCTGGAAGAGCATTCCAGAAACTCTGTAATAATCTTCCTCCTAGAGCCTGCACTCCAGCTTTGCCACAGCAGCAGCTTTCCAGTTACTTTAGTTGCATTGTTATGCTTAATAATGCAGTAAAAGAGGTGAAAAATGTTTATCTTCTCTTCGTTTGCCCCAGAAGTCTTTTTGGTTTGGATTCTGTTTGTGCAAAACACTATCAACTGGTGACTGACATGTCTGCTTTAACCATAGCCTTTGAAATGACCTTAATTACCATGTTGTTAAGAAATGAGTACTTGTTTAGAAAAAAACTGTACTTTTAAAATTCAGTTAGTTAACACTGCAAAAAACTGCATATTATATTTTTATTTTCAACATGTAGTTTTGTATATTAAATTTATTGAAATTAAAAACTAAACACTGTATTGTCTTCATCTGCTCAGGAAGACAGAGGCAGAGCTGCCTGACCTGTCTGGACTCTGTTCTGTCTCCCAACTTGCCCATCCCTGGCACAGGCACATCCTCCCCTTGGAGATCCCTGGTTTCTGTTAGCTCACAGAGATTTAAAAACACAAACAGATTTAGTACCCTTTCTTGTTCAGTATGCTGCTGATCAAAAAGCATTCCTGAAAATAAGTCATGATCCAGTTTACTTAAAGGACAAAGTAGGGACTATTTTCCCCATCACCTGGAAGAATTGTAAAAGCCTATTTTTGTAAAAATACAAGGAACATTTGGGAAGCAGCAGAGTCTAGTGTACTTTTTTCTTTCTTTTTAAAATTAAAACCCCAACACCATAAAGGATGAAGGCACAGTACCCTTCTGTGCTGGACAAGCAGTGCAGCAAGCACAGCACACAACTGGGAGCCAGAACAAAAACAGAGGTCTGTGAACACCAACCTGCTGAGGAGCCCTGGGGCCTTTCCTTCTGAAAGGGACAGCCCTTGGAACCTCACGTGCCAAGGGCGTGCACAGAGGAGGGACTGGCACCCCTGAACTGGTGGCTGAGAGCTCTCTGGTTTAGGAAACAAAAAAAAAGATCCCAACCCAAACAGGCCTGGATAGGAGAGGACAGAAAAAGCAGTAGCAGACTGTTCACTGAACCATGCCGGCTGCTCAGACACTTGGGAATAGGAATTCTGATAAAGGTCTTACCTGTGACTTAACCAAAAAGCTCTGGCACTGCCTCAGGGAATTTTTAAGGGGCTAAACCCTTCTCACAGCACTCTGCATAGTTAATGTAACATTCGTCCTGGTGCTACATCAGTAGTCCCACATTAAGGCAATTCTGTCTATTTTGGGTAGACCGGTCCCAAGCCCTGCAGCAGCGCATTCCCAGAGCCTCCTGTTTGCCTTGGAGTTATTAATAAACACTATGGCTGTTATCAAAATAGACATTAGGTTCAGTAGTGCATTCATTTAACATCTTTGGTGCTTGCAGCTTAGCAGCATCTTCCTGCCTTCGCTCAGCCCACGACTTCCAACATTCCCATGGATCTGGGGAAAACAACACAAATGAATCCGTCAGAATTCCTTGTTGCTACACAGAACAGATGTTCACAGTTCAAGGTGACATTATATGGAAAATGCTGACATCAAGGTTATGGATGGTCAAGGAGAAAAATCAATGGAGCAAAATTATTAAACTCCAGTGATGGAAAGTGCTTGGGCACGAGGCCAAGTTGTTATTTCAGGTATGGCCATCAAACGTGTCCCTCAGCCTGAGTGAAGCTCACGGGACCTCCTGACCTCCTTGGCTGGGAGGAAAACACTAAAACTGGCCCTTTGATACCCAAATGGTGACGCCTCTACTGAAATGAGACCTCAGGCTCCACAGTCTGACACTATTTGCCACACCTTTGCTTCCAAACATGTGATGTCATTCTGAAGCTTATGAATATTTGCTTAACTGCCATTTATAAATGTAAAGTGAAATAGTATGCTAGGGAAGAGGGAGCACAGAGGCTTCAGGAGATCAAGCAAAGGAAGACAGATTATTTATCACTTATTTTCTAAATAATATTCTTAGTAAAGGTGACACCAGGAGCTGTCCCTGTATTTCAAGTGATTGTGAAACAGCATCTTTGAGATACAAACTAATCAGAGATTCTGTAACCTCATTTATGAAATGATGTCAACTCCCCACCACAAATATAAAGAGGAATGCTACTGAAGCCAGAGCTGAGTAATTAGGTCAATGCCAACAAAAGGCATTATTCAAGCAGGATTTATCTGTAGCCCTGTCAAGTCCTGCCAGACCACCTCTGGACGCAGCATTCGTACCTCAGACAGAACTAACGCTCAAGGACCAGCCAATTTTCTGTAACTGTTTGAAGATCTTGACCACTGAGGGGCTCCCTGAGTCTCACTTTTACCTCCAGTTTCCCTCCAGTGGGCTTTCTGCCGTCAAAAATCTGAAACAACCACAAAAAGAAGAGCAGTTAGGACAAATAGGGATTATACTGTTAAACTATAAAGCCTCAGGCAACTGTGACTATTTTCCCATGGCCTGAGGGTGACAGATCCCTGCAGGTGACTGCAGTGCTGGGAGTGTCACAGCCAAGCACTTCCTCGGACTGGAACTCAGCAGAGCAGGTCCCCACAACCCAGGCAGGTTATCAAACACACCTAATACAAAACGCAACTGCACTCACACATTTATGTGATCCAAATACTCATTTCCCCTTTAAGTACTAAGTAGAAGAACACACCTCATCCCAAAAAAGTACCTCAATGATCTCTCTAACTTCACATTCTGATTCCAGCTTGTCCAGCTTCAAGTGTGCTGTCCCCACATGTTTGTCACTTCTGAAAAAGGACCTGTGCCAAAGAAATGAAGGGGTAAGGATTGTCAGAACATTTAAGAGAAAACAAGCCCAAAGGTCATCATTATTTGCTCCATCCCCACATCAAGAGAGAGCCAGTCAAGATGTGCTCCTGGAACCCGTGCACACCACAGAGCCAGAGGCAAACCCTTAAAAACCAGACTACAAGGAACAAGATAAGAAAGGATTAATTCATTATTCTTTTGTGACCAAAGTAAAGATGAGGATGACAATGAAGAAAAACTAATCAACTAAATCAGCACTTGGAGTGGCAGCAGCTTCTGTCCCTGCCCAAGGTGACAGAGAAGGAGGTCCCTGTGGCCAGGACAGGTCCATCCTCTGCTTGGGGCTGTTTAACAGAACAGGCTGAAGGAATTCCCAAGGAAGTTGCATCTCCCAGCACAACAACCTGCACCCAGCACCTGCTGCTTTTGGCAAACTGCTTTTTGGAAAAAGCCAGATGAATCATTCTGTTTCATCTTGATAAATCAAAACAATTTCAGTAAATAAGAACATTTCAGCTATTGTTTTGATTCACCTACATACTGGTAGTTTTAGCAGTCAAAAAGTATAATTTTAGAATTTCCAGTCTGCTGGAATTAAACACAGAAGCATTTTTACTTCTACTTGCTGCAGTCATTTCTGTTGAACAGTTTTATCAGCAGTAAGTCAATCCTTACCTGGAGACAGGTGTTACAACCCTCATCCAAACTCCTCCAAAAAGCAACAGCCAACACTAAACCACCCTCATTCCAGAGCTGTTCAGCTCAAAGCACAGCAGTTCTTTGTCTGCATCCAAGCATCTCCCTGAACCAGTCTCTAAAAGGTTTGACAAATAACCAAACTCAAGAGTTGAGTTAAAGAAGATAATTTGGCCAAACCTGCCATGTTTTCTTGGAAATTTTCCAAGATTTCAGAAGCTTCCTTTATTTCAGAAAAAAACCAAGCAGCCAAACCAACAAACATTAAAAAACCCATCCCCCAAAACATCTATCCTTCTTCCTATTATCAGTAAGAGATACTGAGATGTTACCAAGCAAGACTTGACATACACAATGGAAACGCGTTAATGGTGCCTCATGATCACATCATCGGTGGCAACAGGAGACTGAGACTCTCCATCAATGAGGCCACAGCAGACTCAGAGAATCATTTAGGAAAGTTCAGAATTTCTTAGCTCACATACTGGAATACTTCCTTCACTTCACAGGCACCTTAAAATGAAGGATTATATAATTGTACTGCAGCATGTGGGACACTTTGCTCATAAACTTCAGAGAATCAGCAATTCTTGCTGAATTTTTTGAAGCACTTTTCCATTTTATAACTCAAGAAACAATAAAGACTGGTTCATCCCTGCCCAGTTCCAGGGGGTTGCTGTGAAGACTGAGAACTTGCTCTAGGCTATGGCTTCAGAAACAGCTCTGGGGAAATCCCCTTTCATCTTCAGAAGCTTTTAGGAGAGGCTCAAGAAGAGATTTTTCCTTTGGAAAAATACATAGCTGGGTTTTTACTTAAAAGTGTTGTTAAACTGAAGTTTAATATATATGACCTGAAGCAAGTCTCCTTTGCTCACTGAGCAAAAATAATTCTTGGGAGATGGTCAAAGTGCTATCAGAGACCCCAAAGCTACAACATCCACAAAAGCGTTTCTGAAAGTTCATTTGTAGTCTTAGAAAAGACAGGGAGCAGTCAGTCTTTAAAGAAAGCACAGGATGAAGTGATCTAGACTCTTCTCCCAAGGAGATGGCTGGGAAAAGGTGACTAGAAAAAAACATTTTAAAGAAATGTAACCACTTCATAGCTCTGTGCAAAAGAGGGGGGGATCTTGAACACCGCAGCAGAGCAGTCAGGTTTGACAGAAAAAGAGTAAGAAGATCAACTTTTGCTTCAACAGAGATTCCAATGGATGATCTGGAGTAGAACAGTGGGACTTCAGCTCACAAACTGAAACATCTGCAACTTGAAAACCTCTGGATGACTTCTGCATGGCCCAGTAATAGCAGCAAGGAATAGGACAAAGGGCCAGCAGATAAAAACCAGGTTATCTGGCATCCCATCACAGTGTTGGATCACAACCAACCCAGGGGTGAGGGAATACAGGCTGGTCCTATTCTGAATAACTCAGTTATGAGCCTGGAGTGAGGATGATCTCCCTGAACATTGTTAACACTCATCTTGTGATCCTGTTCTCTGAGCTGAGGGGAGTCTTGTCTCTCTCAAGGCAGCTACCAGCAGTGCTCAGGAAGTACTGCAAGATCCAATGAATGAAAGTACAAAAACATAACTCTAGTTCTGCCATCATCTATCACCTGCTTTGCTGCTGTTCATATTTTGCTGCCACTTTATTTTTCTACAGTTATTCCACAGAATATTTAAATTTTCTAGTCCTGATGACTGAAACCAAACTGGGTATGAATCAAAACAATTTGAAATAAATCACTGCTTTCTCAGCCTCACCAAGTCCTTTTAACACACTAATCCTCAACTGATCTGAATCAACTTCACTGAATCCGTGCCTTTCTTCACCCCTACAAGGGAAGCTACGGAGCTCAGGCTGAAATTTTGAAAGCTCTCAGACATGAGTACCAGACAACTCTTTAGTGCTGGCTTAGAGATTGTGCTTCATAAACTTCAGCTCCAACACTCTTTTCAGCTGTTAGTAGAGAAGCAAACTGTGGACTCACCCTTTGTGAAACACTTCAAATTTAATTCCTTTGGACCGAATTGCACGTCGGAAGCCTCGGTGGTTCCGGTTGATGTTCAGCTTGAACAGCTGGTTGTACTCTGCAAGTGAAATAAAGGAAAGAAAGCTGTGAGTCAAATTGTGTTTAGTGCTCTATTTCTTGCACCTACTCAGAGCTCTTTTTCTCAGTCTGGCCCTATTGTTAGACCCTTGACAGCCACAGAAACTCCTCCTCAGGAGGGTCTTTCAGTCAGTCACAGGGTGTGTCCCTGTCCCTGTCCCACAGTTCATGCCACCCTCACCTTACAGGGACAGAAATCAAAGTGCAGGAAAACCGAGCCATTATGAGCTGACAGCAAAGTACTGGAGAGCTAAAACTAGAGAGTTTAGGTCTTTCAGCAAGTAAAGTGTTTGTGGCTAATAAAAAAAGATACAAAATATTGAAGAAAAAGCAGAGTAAGACTCAAATGACTAGGAATTGTTTTGGATAATGTAATTAATACTGGCTTAAATAATGACATAATAGCTACTACTGATATTGGGATGAGGGGGAAGAAATTGCCAACACAGCTGGACTTTACCCCCCAACAAACCCTTTCATAATAAGAAAAAAGGTGGTGGGAGGGTCTCTGACCTGGTTCAGAGTCTGACACCAGCCTGTCCTGTCCAGGGATTCCCAAGGTGCAACATTTTTCCTGCTGTTCTAGGATAAAAAGACTCACCTGGACAATTGTTATTGTTAATTACAGGTGTTTTACTCTTTTGAGGTTGTTCCTATTAAAAAAAGAGACAGACATTACATAAAACTGTCAGGTACTGTTTGAAAACAGACTAATGACCATTTTTATTGCCAGCTCTATTTTATGCCTATACCAGAAACGTGAGGTTTTAGGGGTTGTCTAAATAAGAAGAGTCATGGTATATTCAAGACTAATATACTTGGATTTCACTGTGGTAACAAGGATAATACTGGGGAAAGAATAAGCCAAAACATTACATTAAATATGAGAGCCATAGATGAGCTATACAGTCACAGTCAATTCAATCCAATCATCATAAAGTTACTGACTGGGCTGTTAAACTCCATGACAAACTGTGCACCTTCCACGACACAGTAATTCTGTTCCTCCTGCATTAGCTGGAATAATAAGCTACACAAGGAATTCATCACAAATCATTCTGAGAATTGCCCTACTATTATTTTCCCTGACAATCAATCTGCCACCAAAATGAATTAACTTTTAACCTAAAGTGAGTACAAACTAAATCTCTGGGGAATGAACAAGGACAATGTGGCCTAATTATTGCAGCTACTTTACAAACTGATTTCAGCTATAAAAGAAAGGTGGTATATTTATTTGTTGGCTAAGGAGTAGAGATCTGTTTTTTCTTTAAATAAAGGAAAATAGATTAAAAGGAACTATGCTGATTCTTACTCATTCCCCAGAAAATTATTCATACATCCCAGTTCTGGTTTCAGCCACCCTGAGTTACTCCTTCATTAAGACCTCATGTCATTCAAACCTGAACACAAACCTGGTCTGACCATCACCAATTTCCCACAGGTAACTGAATTAATTTTAGTGGAATTACTGCAAAATTTACTGGGAGGCAGAAACCTAGGCTCTGCACTCTCCCAGGGCTAAGCATTAGTCTTGCAAGAGCAAGGTCTGGTTTTGAGACCAGTCTGTCCCTCCTCAGAAGCCCTTCTACCTCTAAGCTTTGAGTGTTTTTCAGACCAGAGACTGCTTTTAAAGGTGAGAGGAATAGGATGACACTGGGGAATTCCAAGGAAAGAAGTAATACATATGTGTATACATATTTTTATACACATACACATACCTACATGCACATACACACAAGTGTTGATTAGTAAGGGTGAGAAACTTGCATGGCCCAAGTCAGGTGTGTATATATATATGTACTTACTAATTAAATTAGCATTTATTTGATGAGAAAGATTAACCTTTTCAATCCATTTCTGCAATTTTAAGAGAGGCTCAAATGCAACGCCTTTAAAAGCTTGGGTTTTTCACAGAAGAGGACTGAAAGAGATCACATCTAAGGTGGCCCTTGGCAACAATTTTGTGTGCCCTGGTGTTTGGTGTGTTTGCACCCCTGAAATACATGAACTCTGACACATTTTGCCAAGATTGGAAAGAGTCTGATTGTGCCTTCAGGGGGGAGAGGTGGGCATGGCTTAGCACTGAGAGTGCTGCTGACACCACCCTGCCAAGGCTCTCTTCACCTTCACCACAAAGTGAGCATCGAGAGAAAGGTGCAAAGCTCAAACCTGCAGCCAACACACTCAGCAGTTCTGTTTCTCAGAAAAATAAATCTGCTTTAAAAGCAGATCCAGGCAGGATGTCTAGAAGTGTCCTCCCTTTCCTTGGAGCCCTGACAAGCTCATGCAGTGGCAGGGGGGACAGACTGAGGGGCAGAAGAGCCACAACACACTCACCGCACTCGGGTACTGAAATTCAAACTTCACAAATGCATCCAAATCTCTCGGTGACACACCTGGGTGAGACAACAACCAGCCAATCCAAACAGCCAGTACAGACATTGTCATTCCATCTGTCACGTTGAGGATTCTCAAGAGCACCCGACTGTTTTATGGTAGGACTCATGTTGACAACTGAAAAACTCATCCATCAAACCAAAACCCATGGAGAGTTGGCATCCAAAGGAAAACGCCTGGTTTTTTTTATGCTGTTAGTCCTAGGACAGTCTAGCACAAATGGTTTACAAGCTTCCAGGAACAAGGGGCTAAAAGCAGTAACACTGGCAGGAGCAAACCCTGTCTATTGAAGGGTCAAAATAAACCAAAGTGGTGCAATTACTAGGCAGGCACTCATAACAAAACAAAATGAAACCTTAACTATGAGCAGTTATGAGTGAACCCAGGCAAATTTATTTTTTTCTTTTCTCTGTCCAGACAGAACCCAGATTCTCTTCATTCACCTGTCTGCTTTTTTTAAAATACCATTTAAAGATTTGGGGGGGGGGGGGCATGAGCCCAAAATGTGCTTACTTTGCTTTAATGAATGCTAGCTCCTAAAGTGGCCTTCAAGATAAGAGAAATTTCATTCCCCATTACTTTCCTTACCTACTCATAGGAAAAAGCCCACATACCCTTCTGATTACACACCTGGTGGGGCTGGTAGGTTTATCCCTCTGACAATAAGAAGATGCATTTCTGTGCTGTTCAGATCAGAAAATATCCTGTGAAAAGAGAAAGACAAAAAAGCACATTCATCCCACCATCAGCTGATCCACTGCCAGACCAGGATTCCATGGCTATTGGTCAGATCTTTTTCAACAGTGCACTCCTACAGAGACCATCTCCACAAAATATAGCAGAGCAAGTGAAGAGCACAAACAGAGCTAAAAATATCTCTAAGGCCAGGAACAAAGCCCAGGAGGCAACAGGACTGAGGGAGAAACACAGAGGAAGAAGGAATGGCTGAAGCAACAGAATATAAGAGGGGAAGCTGGAGGCATTTTGAAAACAAAAGAATCAGCAAAAGGTTAGAGAAAAAACTTCTTTGTATTTAAGTTGTTGAGAGTATCCTTTCAGGAATGCTGAGCCTAATCCTGGATGCCACCCAAGTTTGCTGAAGCCCAGAATTCCCTAAACAAGGGCAAAAGACCAGGAAAGTCATTCCTGCCTGCCTGAGAAATCCTTTTGTTTTTCCACACCTTATCATTTTAAAGGTTCTTTCCTCAAAGTGATGGCTTGGAGGATCCATTCCCTGTGCTCGTGCAAGCTGTAGGATCTCCATGTCCTTTTTACAACCTTGTGCCAGTTTCTCAAACCTATAGAAAAAGGCAAAAAAAAAAAAAAAAGGAAAAAAAGCCACACAAGCCAGAAATCAAAGAGAGCACAGAGTAACCCTCAGCCAGAGCTGAGAGCATGTGAATCACAGATGCAGGAATCACAGTCCCAACCCTTTCACGAAAGGATAAATGTACCAACTGAAACCCCAAGATCTTTAGGGGGTCAGGCAGACTCAAACCTGAAATAACTGCTTTGGGGGATGGTGGAAAGCAGGCACTGGGTCTTACCGAGTTGTTTCTGCTACGTTTCCCAGATGCATGAATTGCTTGGAATACTGCAAACACCTCTGTCAACACAAACAAAACCAAACAGATTTACTCAGTGATCCTCACACACAGATTCGTGACTGGCATCGTTCTGAAATTGATGACTATTTAATTTAAGCAAAACCAGGCATTTTCCTAAATCACTCAAGAACACTCATTACCCCATTCCTCAACTGCAAAGTATAGCATTTGTTTGAGCAGTTCTCCCTATTACTTTTTAATAACCTGATTTGTAGACATGAGGTTCACCTTAGGCCTAGTCTTAATATTCAGGTATTATTCTCAAACTTGAGTGCTCATGTTTAACAGTGATAATTTGCTAGTCCCAAGCCTTCAAGCACACCCTCTTGCTTCAACTAGCCATAGAACCCAGCCCTGAAAATTCTCCATTTTAAGACATGCAGTATCAAAAGTACTTTAAAATAAAAAAAGACTCCACTGGAACAATGATAGGACTATAACATTAATGAACTCCAGAGAAAAAAGTCCAAAAGAAACTCTGAAACATTTCTAAAAAATTTAAAATGGTCACCTCATGTTGGTCCTTCAGCAATTTTACAAGCTGTGCATAAACTTCATCTGCTTTCTGAGACAGCCTGACATCTTCATGGTGTACAAAGATAAAATCACCCTCATCATCTGTAGGAGGTGATGGCAGCTGCAACACAAGAACACCACATTTCAGAACCCTTACAGGGAAAAGTAAGCACTAAGATGTGCAAGAATGTGAAACAAAGCAGAATATTAACAGTCCTACTAACCTTGGAAATATCAACAGTTTTGCCAGATTTTGCCTGCTCAATCCTTAGGTCAAGGCCCTTTGCTGTTCTGAGATACGTCTTTGCCTGTTCGAGGTTGTTTTCCCTCTTTGCTTTGATGGCTGCCTTCAGGTATTGCTTCTTCCTGTTCTCCAGAAATTCCAGCTGGTCCCTAACTGAAAAACAGTTGTACAGGAACACTCACTCACCTGACATAGGTTTACCATGTTCAGTTTACAGCCAGGAAAGGATCAGTGAAAGCACAGATGTCAAATTGGGACATTTCCTTACTGCACTCAGCTGTTTATTGGGCACTTTCAATTTCAAGCATTAAAAAAATAAACAAGTTTCCTTCTAGAACAGCATCCTTCATCAAAAAAACCTCACAGCACTTCACAGGTGTCACAAGAGTTATTACAGCCCCTAATCTGCAGGCCTGAGAGAGAATCCAGCAGAGCTGATTGGTCCAAGGGAAAAGCTGAATCCAAACTTTCAGCTCTCCATATTAACTTCTAAAAAACAGAAAATATCATGAGCATCCTCTGGAGTAATTTCCTTCCTCTCCACAGATCTGTCAGGAAAGAACCCAAATGAACCAATGTGCAGGCCCAACCAGACATATCACCTCTGCTTCTCTGTAATCCCTTGTTCTCTTAGTTTCTTACTAATGCTTGAGTCTCTTCCTTCCTTGCCAAAACAAGAAAGGACAACCACACCAATAAGCTTGCTTTACACTGTACCAGGTTAGTGCATCAGTCAGCCAGGCAGTTCTACTTCATCCTGAGGGATCAACCCAGGGCAGAAGGGGAGGAGGATGGGATTACAGTCCAGGCATCAGTGAGAGCCTGAGCACTGCCTGCGTGAGCCCAAACCACACTGTGAGGTGGTGGCTGTCCCTTACTATCTGTACCATTCATCTTGTACACACAACTGCTCAGTGGCCTTAGCCAGGGAAGAGTAGAGACTGATGAACCCCTGCCTGCACTGCCAGCCTGAGATCCTTGGGTGAAACACCAGGCAGAGAGCTCTGTCTGATGTAGGGAGCTGCATGAGATCAATGAATAATTCACACAGGCAACCCATCCCCTTTAATGAGAGTATATGGAGAGTTCAGCTGTGAGCAGAGCTACACATTATGAATCGATACACTTGTTACATCAAAATGAATTAAAAACCTAATCAGCCTTATAATAATACATGCTGTCTCTGTGAAATGAAGCTGCATGGCTGGTCTGGGTCTGCCCTCTAGCACACACATATTGAGGCTCTTGTCAGAGGAAATCTATGACACACATTCACAGGCTCACACCTAAATTATGATGCTGAAGTCTTCACCAAACTAGAGCAAACAACTTGCCTGTGGAGTACTGGGAAGGGTGATCCCTTCACTTACCAGCTGGAGGGAGATGATCCACTGACTCTGCCTTGTCCAGGGTGGAGGGTGATGCAGCTCGTTTCAGGTGCTCTGGAGAGCTCTCCTGAGCTGCAGCAGATGGAACTGGAGTTGGCTTAACAACCTGAGTTGGCTTTTTGGAAACTGGAGCCTGAGGGAGAGGCTCATTCTAGCAAAACAAAAAGAATTGCATCATAAATGCATAAAATCTATTCCAGGGTTGAGGACAGAATCTTTTGAGGGGAGCATGGCATTCAAGACAGCAAATTTTAACTTTTGGAGGTTTATGAGCCATGCCAGACCAGCAGGTAGCTGAGGTATGGAAGCCATAGATGGAATAAAGGGAATGTTCAACAAGGCAGTGATTTTTAAAAAAGCAGAGGCATGCAGAAAAAAAATCCAGGAATTCTCTTCATTAAAAGCTACTCCAGTTGAAAGTACAATCAATCAGCAACCAAATCCAGAGAGACAGAAATCAAACCACAGTCTAAATGCCGGTGCAGCCTGCCAAAAAACAGTAAGTGTTGAACATCCAGGGAAAGAACAAACATAGGAAGCTACTGGGATGCAGGATAAAAATACAGATTTAAGTACTTTAGAACAATGTAAAGGAGTGGTGAGGATCTGAAGTGTTTGCTTTGAAAATAAAATCTACATAAAAGACAGCTATGAAAGAGCTGAGCTCTGCACTCACAGACTCTGTAGGTACTGACTGTAATAACATCTCATCTGTCTCCCCTACTCTATAAAGGAAACTGAAATTAATTCTGAGATCCTGTACTCCTCAGACTTTTGGGAGATGTATTCCACCTCACCACCCTTACCTGGAAAACCAATGGCCTCATCTCTGCATGCCACAAGAAACGGCAACTGAACTTTTACACATCCTAACAGACAACACTAACCTCCTCCTCTTCATCATTCTCCTCCATGTTGGCCAACTTGCTGGCACTCTCCAGGACAGCAGCAATTGTGCTGCCACCATCTGTAGCTGCAACACCAGGAAGTGGAGGAAATCCTGTGAAGGAAAGAAGCACAGAAGACAGAGTTACATAAGCCCTATGGTATGTCTTCCATAATACTTGTTTACTGTAAAGCTGTTTCTACGCAAATATCTATTATCTAATGTGTTTTAGAATTCAGTCTAACTAGACTGAGGCCTCATTTGGCCAAAAAGCCTTGCTTAACATCAGATCGCTCACAGATAACCAGCTTAAGTAGATGATAGTAAAATGATGCAATAACTGAGCAGTTTTCCAAGATGAGCAACTGCAGCCAGCCAAGCAACCTCACAACCTCAAGACTTCAGTAACAGGGATGCCCCCAGAACCAGTAGAGAATTGAGTCTCATTTTCTCCCCTCTCACTGCTGCCTCACTTTAGCAGTCACACAGAAAATTAGTGCTACCCCCAGAGTAATAAACAATCCACTGCTGACAGCTGGGTAACAAACTCAGCCTCTGCTGAAAAGGTACTGCAATGCAGAGGTAGCAAACTAAGGCAGAATCAGAGGAGTTAAATGAGAAGTGTAGGAAGAATAATGCTTTTCAATATTGTTATGCTTTTAAGGTAGGGAGGAAGGCTTGATGATGGAAGATAAACTCTCACTGCCACACAACCAGTTTAGTGTCAGCTTCAGAGACCCAGAGCCACTACTAGAAAATGTCTGTTAAGACTTCTCTCATTTAATGTATATCAAGTATTCTTGCTGCCAGTCTCATGAGAAGTGACTAAGTGACTACTTCTACTAAGAAACAGTGATTAAATTGCTTCTAAACCTAGAGATGGCTGCTACAGCACAAATTCAAGGTACTCAGGCAGGCAGAACAGCATGCTGCTGCCCCGTGTGACATTTGATCCATTTCTCAGCAGCATTTCAGTTTCCAGGGAGTCCAAGGCTGGTACTCATCACCAGCCAGATGCTCTGAAAGGCAATGCCATCCCAGGATAATTCACCAGTGGTTTCAGTGACTGCCTAATAATTGTCTTCAATGTAAATCACAAGGCCTCTAAATGATGGCTGAAAAACATACAGCTGATATTCAAGGACACCGAGCAGTTCTCCACATTTCCAGAGGTATAAATATGGAGAATCCCACTCTTACAGAAACTGGTATTTACCAAGAAAGGGATCACATTCTGCAAAAAGGCATGCTAAACTGCCTTTCAGGGACAGCTTCAAAGCAGGAAACCTTCAAAACCACACATGACCTGACAGATGGCAGTGCCTACTCTACTACCACTGCAGTGCTTGCCATTGCCACATCTGACAGTGACAAAAACACCAAAAGGTCCATCTCTATCCTCTCACTTAAAAAATCCAGGCACTGCTTTGCAGTGCTGAGTGTAGCTTTCAGAAGAGCACATCAGGCCCAAGATAAAAGGAAAGATGTTTCCTAGGGGAGAAACGGTATCATGCAAATGAGGGTCAGAGCGTTCACAGATGACCTTGCCCAAACCTTTCCAGACACAGCACTCAGTGTTCTGAAGAAGATAAACAGGACACAGTGCCTCAAGAAACAGGCTCAGCTGCTGTCTCTGCCACTGTCTCAGTGTGACCATGGGCATGATCTGCTTCATCTCTGCAGACTTTTACGTGCCAGGAGAGCTGCAATACTGATTTGGTGTTACAAGGAGATATTCATTAGATGCCAAGCTCTGAGGGTCCTGATAGGAATCAGGAGAATGGGGGACATCAGTAAAATTTTTTCACTTTCAAAAATCTCTTTCCAGCAAAACTAAGCCAAAATAACCCAAATTTAGTCTTTCCTCTAGGAGACCTGACACAAAGGATAGGCAAGTAACATTTTTAGCACCTGCCTATGGTGAAGTTCTGGAACTTTTCAAAGAGTGCCAGTTTTAAGTTCCCATACTGTCAAACAGGTCGTCAATATGCAGGAATATTCACCAGGGTCAGTGCTTGGGAGCATATTAATAAATTTCACAATACCATCAAACAGCAAGGCCAGCAACTCACTGAGAAAAAGGAGCTGTTCCACAGGATGAGCAGGCAACATCTGCACAGCCCCTTCAAAGCCTAGCACGTGTACAAAAGTTTGAGGATTTTAGAAAAAGTTTGAGGATTTTAGAACGTTTTACATTCACACTTACCAGGAGGAACAGGTAGCTCAGAATAATTCACTTTTCTCCCTGCCTTATGGGCTCTTATGGCATCCTGGTATTGCTGCAATCAAAGGCACTCAGTAAGAAACAAAATAGAGCTGACTGTGAATTAGCAATCATTTGTATTTAACCAGCATAAACACTGTACAAGACTCAGTATTTTACTACAATATGTGCATTGTCTCCATTTCTTTCTCCGAATGCTTTCCAGCTTCCCCACTGGACCACTTTTCAAACAGAAAGACAATACACAAATTATTTCAGCCTTGGAAAAGTCTTCAGCAAGAGAACTAATTCAAATGGCTTTGCTGGATGCAAAGAGCCACACTTTAGGTTCTACCTTGGCTATCCTGTCGTGCATCCTGCCCTTCCGATCGTCCCCGCTGGCTTTGGCCTGAGCTGCTGCTGCCCTGTACTTCTCCAGCCGCTGCTGCAACGCTTCCAGCACCGTCTTGGGCTGCTGCAGAGACTCTGCAAACCACACAGACAATTAAATACCACATCATAAGGATTTCAGAACACACAAGGCTGCCTTTCTCCTCCCCTTCCTCACCTTCTTCAGGGAACATCTCTGCAAAGTCTCACTACAAACATTGCTGTTAGAAAGAAAGTTCATTAACTTTTACTTCCATCACTGATCCAGAACAAAAGTAGACTGGATCAGCAGCAAACAATACTCAGGAACATTAGCCAGGTTTACTCAGTCCTGGTGCAGTTCAGTGGGAGAGGTCAGACCTTCAAGTGCTCCCCAGCTGTGCTATTTTCATGACTTACTAGAGAAATGCAAAAGTCCTACCTGAAGCTTCTTGGGTTTGAGGTTCAGGTGTTGCAAGATCCTGGGAACTTCCCACTCGAGGTGGTACTTTCTGCTTGGATGCATCTTGTACATGTCCTAAGCTTTCAAGATCTGCAAAGCAGGGAAAGCAGGAAGTTTCACAGCATGTTCCACACACAGCAATTACTGCTGCATGTCACTCAGAAAATCATCAATTTGATCACATCTTCGTGAAAGCTTTTTTGCTTCCAAATAGTATCGCCATGGCTAGCTAAATCTAAGGTTCCCATTATCCACAGAACATGCTTTATAAGAGAAAATCTCAAATGCTGATTTAATTTTAGTTAGGGCTGCTTGAGGGGGGAGAAAAAAAAAAGCAAAAGTAGTTCAAGTATTCTAAGAATTCTCTCCCCAAAATATAACTTGGTATCTTAGCAGATGGAAAGAGTGAACAAGTCTTCTAATTGACTAAAATATTCTAGTAACAAAAGATGTGCTGGAAAAGGGAAGAAACTCATACCATCTATTCAGAAACTCTAGTTTCTGGTATTGTATAATATAAAACTAGAAGATTATTCACTGCAAAAATCTTAGACTTTTTAAGGCAAGGTTATGCCCTGGGTGAAGCTTCTTTACAATGCCATTTAGTGATCAGTAACTGGAGTCATGAATCTCATGATTTACCAAAATAATCTGTCATTTTATTTCTTAGTATAAAATAATCCACTAAAGTAAGTTGTTTAAAACACTGGGCTACAAAGACTAAGTATTAATTACTGGAGGGAATACTGCATCTACTTAAAAAAACACCAAACTCTCTCTTATGAGAGCTGAGGTACCTTTAATATTGATAACTTGTTTTAAAAATGAGATTTTAGTGCACTGCAATCTGTTGTTAATCTGAATATTATGAACTTTAGTTACAGCACATAGCACCATCAAATATTACAGCAAATTTTAAGAATGTGCCATTATCCTTCTTTCCCTTCCACTTCAAATACTGGCTATTATCTACACTTATAAAACCAGGAATATCATCAATACTTGTTTGAACTTGTAATTCACAGAGAGTAAATGCAATATAAGTAATGATACCTCATTTCTCTTCATTGGTGTTGATTAGACTGTCAACATGCAGTGAGCCTCAGTCCTAAACAATCTCCAGTTCTTTTAATAGCTTTGCAATCAAATGCAGAATCATTCCATTACATCAGAGAGACTTCTGAAAAGTTTCCTGATTACAAGCCTTACCCTGAGGAGATGGAGGCATATTCTGGAGGTCTACTGGCTGCCCACTGTCCAAAGCTTCCAACACCACATTAAATTTCTAACATGGAAAAAAAAAAAGAGGTTTATTCTGCTCTGTCCAAGACCTGCCAGCTGCCACAGTAAGTATGTGACATTTAATGTACAGAACAGGGTATGTTCAGCATCCGGGATTTCTTGAGTGCATACCTTGCCTGTCTTCATGTACTCCTTTGCTTTCTCCAGGTCCCCTTGCTGCTTGGCTTTTAGAGCTGCTAGTTTATACTCCTTCTGCCTCTTAAGTAGGATTGCTCGTGTGCTGCTGTGCTGGGGATCTGGGAGAATGAGACAATGCTGAGACTGACACAGAGCATGCAAGATTTGCATCCCTTGCTACATCCATCTATGCAAAACCACATTTGTTCCCTTTTGCTCTAAGTCACATCAGTCACTTACAAATATCCTTTTTCCCCCAGTCTCCAGAAGTCCTATCTAACATAATAATTCAAATTTTCTTCCAAATCTTCCCAATTTAAAGAAAAAATTTTAGGTCTTTAAGTTAGTATCTCAAAACTCTTTAAAGGTTGGAATTCCACATGTCAAACAATGAAGGAGAAACTGAGGCACAGGAGAAATTAAGGATACTGATCCAGTGCACAGAAGAGCTCTAACACAATAACTGATTCCACTTGCAGAAACTCAGCATTCCATAGACAGCTCTCAGACCTTTAAGCAGGAAAGTTCCAACATAAGCAGTGCTTTGCTATACACAACACAAACGTCAGGGAAGATGCAGCATTAAAACAGGGTTGCAACTGCTTCTCCTCTCAGATCACAGTACCTGTTTCCACAGCAGGATCAGCAGCAGCACGACCTTGTAGAGACTCTGATTCCAAATGCTCCCTTGCCTCAGGAGAAGCCTTCTGCTCATCATCTGCAGCAGACTCAGCTTTATTCTCTGGTGAATCTCCTGAATTCTCCAGCTCCACTCCCATGGCTTGAGGTACGTTAGAAGAACTCTTTCCTGTTGCAACAGGAGGTGGCATTTCTTCCTCATTGATTTTTTTGCCTTTCTTCACTGCAGCCAGCATGGTTTCCAGTGTCTGGCACAGAAGGAACAACAGAGTCAATAGGCATTTTCATCAACCATGTTACTAGCATAATATCATTAAAAGACAAGTTTGTCCCCTTATACATGACAGGCTCAGTAACACGCACCACCACAGACTGCTGCCCTTCAGCTCCCTGTTTTTCTGCAAGAACTTCAGTGGCAGTGAAAGGTGTCCAGACACCAGAGACACAGTGCAAAGGCCTTGTTACCCAAACCAGATAACTGCAGGTACCTCAGCACCCAGAATTATTGGACATCTGATGTGATCCACTCAGCTTTGTCACAGAAAGTCACCAAGGAAGCCACTTATACCAACTATAGATGGATTTTGTGCATCCTTAAAATATAATAAAATGTTATTCTGAAATGTCACTGCCTACATGGATCCAGGGAAGGAAGGGGTCTGCAAGCCTATTTAATGCAATGAGAAAAGCCATTAAATACTAACAAAGGAAATGGAGCTTCAGCTCACCACCTATGGTAAGGAGCTCTCACCATCTCTAACTTGGGTTAACTGCTGCTCATTCTTTTAAAACCCCTCCTTCACCCTAAATATTACCTTCCTCAGTATTTTTATTTTTTAAATTTAATTTGAGATTCAGATAAAAGACCACCATGCACTTCAAGCCAAAACAAAAGTTTAACTTATTTCCAAACGTGAAATGGCAGCACAGAAAAACAACAACAAAAATCTCATCAGTGCCAGAACCACTGCTATTTCTTTTTAGCCATTGCATTGTTTGACCTGTTGAGTAACAGTGGCAGAGCTACTCTGAAATGACTGCATGTGAGACTGGGGTTCAAACCAGCAGCCCATAGGCGGCTCCCTCTTCTCCACGTGGGGGTGACAGACTGAGATTAAAGTTCACAGTTCCAAGAACTACATACAAGAGAGAACTCTACACCATTTGTTGACATGGAATTTTGCTAATTAAGTAGCTGTGAGCTATGAAGTGAGATCTGGTCTATTATCCTGTCACACTGCTTAGGCACAGGGAAATTCTCTACCCTGAAAAATAAAGGAAGCGGCAAAGTGCACTAAGATCACTACTGGATGGAATAGCTGGTTTGCCCATTCCTGTGGCTCTCAGAAAGGCCAGGTGGTTTCATGTACATTCCTGTCAGAGCTGGCAGGCAGTGGACAAACACTGACATCTTTCTTGTGCTTCTTCTTCCCCGAGTTTGGCCTCAATTGTTCCCTTTGTACCCCCAAGACACCTGGTAGCCAGTGAGCCATTACATCCTGCCCCGCTGCACAGCCCTGAGCTGTACAGCTTGCTGCTGATGCAGGAGAGCTGCTAAAAGCAACGGGGAGAGAAAGGCCCTGCCCAGCAGTAAACAAGCACTGCAGCTCACTGCAAGCACGCCACCTGCCTGGAACCACGAGAGGCTGGAGAGACCGCTCTCTGCTGCAGTTCTTAATTGCCTTAATCAAAAGACTATTCCTTTTCAAGCACAGGCAGCACACTTAGGGAAAGGCACCTCCTCCCTCTGTCTGACAGAAATGAGTGGAAGGTTAGTACCTAAAGGAAGGCTGCAGTGATGAACTGAAAGGTGTACATGCTAGGAAAACTCCTAAACTTTAAGGTAACACTGAGCAGTCACCACAGGTCAAATCTGGATCCAGCCAGGTGGGTTTAACTTCAGCATGTACCACAAACCCTGCCTCCACCTACCACCCGCCACATTCAACAGAAACAAAGCTGAAGCACAAAAAGCAGCTGAAGCCACACCTCATCTTGTGTGTTTGCTGTGTAAGGTGGGTAGTCAGTAACAACAAATGTCTTTAAAGTAACACCAGGCAGCACATGAACGTTTCATCTCCCTGTCAACAGACTCAAACGGCTGGGAAGACCACACGTCAGAGAGCTGGCTTTGCCTCATTCTCACTCACATCCTGATGATCTCAACTCACCTTCAGGCCTCTCTCGTACCGCCGTATTTTGGCACTCTCCCCCAACTCCTTTGCGTTAGAAATCGCCGTCCTGTAGTCAGCAATTCTCCCCTCGAGTGTCTGTTGTAGCTCACTGGTAACAGCAGGAAGTGAGGAGGTCTCAGAAAAAACAATAAAACAAATCAAGAAAACTTATTTCATCCAGCTAGATGAGTTTTCCCACCGCACTGAAAAACAAACACTCCTCTTCTACACACATACTGCCGTGAATTGAGGGCAGGAAGGAACAGCCCCTAAAACAGAGGAGCGTTTGTGCTGTGCTAACGGTCCCTGCATCCACCTCTGGGCTCTCAAAAGCCTCACAGAGAAGAATGGGTGGAGAGACTTGGGAAACTCTCACTCACAGAGTAATTGGAGCCATGTGGTCGGTGAGTAGGTGAGGAGAACACTGAAGTCTCTCAAACCCCACACAACAGAGGGTGTGAAGAGGTATTCTGGCACAAATCTTGACTTATTCTTTTCTTATTTTTAAACCATGCTGGTTTGCTCCCCTTCTGGGCTTCAACCTGGTTTTACAACAAGAGCTCTTTTTCCTCCTCCTACAGCCTGGAATTAGTTCAGTGACAAAAGCAGACTAAGCAAAGTCATGAGTAGCTACTTACAAACTCTCCACAGCCACAGAGACCCTGCAGATGGCTCCTGATGCAATTATTGCCATTATCTCTATAGAAACCCTCTCAATCCCATTTACTAATGGGCCCAATGTACAGGGCACTGGAATCTGTGGCACACAACAGAAACATGCAGTGACTGAATAAAGGATATGACTACATGAGGACTGACAAATTAAACTGAAACAGATAATGATATTGATAAAAAAAACAAAACCGTGTCAGAGATGCTGAATTATAACATGTCTCACAATTTCAGCACGTTGCTCAATACTCTTAGGGAGAAGATATGAACTCTGGAAGCCTGCACTGCAGTCTGCATGTACCTATGTATAATGAGGGACAAGACATGCTTGACTCTTCAATTCTCTGCTAACATCAGAGTTCATCCTTGGAACAAAGCAAAAGGACCACCTGCACCCAATACAGCACTGGTTTCCCCAGCGGTAACTGCAATAATGTGGCTTTTCTTCTTTGGAAGACAAGAGCTGCCTAGACTCTTGATAATGACCCTCACACAAGCCACGTGACAACACAGATTCAGCAAAACAGTCAGAAACACAAAGCTCATTCCTACCTGTGACTGCAGTTCAGGTAGTTCATCTTCTGGTTCAGCTGGGGATGGCTCTGTTGCTGTTATTTCATCCTCACAGCTTCCTGTCTCACCCTCTTCCCCCAGAACTTCTTGCAACTCTGCCTAAGGTAAAAGTAAGAGCCAACAAAAGGCTTTTCCTCCACATTTTCTCTGTCCTCAAAAGACAGAAATAAAATCACGTCCAAAGTGTCAAAAGCTTTGGATGGATCTTGAACCCAAGTGAAGAATCTGAAGATCCAGTCTTTTAAATTCAATTTTATTTTTCATTATTAATTTAAATTGGATACCACCTTTCCAGATAGCACTGAAAAATCACACTGCAGCCCCAGGATCACCACACAAGTTTGTGGCTGGAGATCTGAAGCTGGAGAAGTTCAGAGAAGTGCTTTTACAAAGATTATGCAAACCTAAATTTCAAGTTTTCAGAAAGCCTCTACTAGCAATGGCAGTCAAAACCACTGCTTAACACTCCTCCGCTAAATCCTGATGTTAGATGAGTCACTGAAACAACAAAGACTTTCTTGAGGTGTTCTCTCAGGCAAAGCACTACTTGAAGCAGTAGCAAAATGATGGCAGACATCACTTTAAGGAGACTGTGCCTGATTCTCTTTCATCAGCTGATATGGAATGGGATTCCTGCTCTTCCCTCAATTCTCTAAGACCCCCACACATATAAATGTTAGGAAACCCTCTTACTCTGCTGTGCAGGTGGATGGATCCTGCAAAGACTTGCATCTAATGGTGCTTTTGCAATATTTCAGCTTCTCACCACAAAGTTAATAGACATTTTTGCTAAATGCAGTACTGTTAAAAAAACCCCACATATTAAAACTCTTTGCTAACAGTTATGCATACCAACAGGTCTGTATCTTTCTCCAAGTCTTCATCATCTGCATCTTCCTCTTCATCTTCATTCAGGTCCTTCATACACTCTGCAGCCATCTTTTCAATATGATCCATGGGCAGAGGAGCTGTAAAAGGAAACCCCAAGGAGCCATAAACCCTAAGGAACAGTTATGCAGTCACTGGGTATAAATCCTGAAGGAGCTCAAAGAGAGCAGTGACCTCCCCTCTGGTGCCCCCTTAATTGCACAGTGTTGTAGGTAACTAAGAGTATAATTATAGATAAAGGGCCAAGACTGGGAAGTGAGCACCCAGGAAAAGCAGCACTGGGGTTTCTGCTACGACAGTCGAGGCAGGCAGTAAGACACTTGCACATCTTCTGCACCGTTGACTCGTGATGATGAGATGCAGCCTTTTCCAATTTTTTCTTGGCTCCTTCACTTTGCAATTTTGCTTCTGGTCTTCATCTTGAAAACTCTACTTAACTCCTCATTGCTGAGTTCTCATCTGTGCTTCATCCTGTGCCAACCACATCTTCCTAAATTATCAACTTCCTCCACATGCTCTCAAAGGTGAGGCTGTTTGCCCACAAATGCCAACTGTCCATGTAAATGCCTCTGATACTTCCCTATGCAAACACATGACTGTAACTCACCAGTGGCAGTAAAAGCTGCAAAAAATACAGATCTCCAGGACAGAGCTTTACAGTCAATTTAAACAGATCCCACTCACTCCCTGCATTTGCTGAATTAGCTGAAAATTAACCCAGGTACAAAACTGTTTCTGTTCAAATAATCTAATTCACCCCATCAGTGCTTCAGTATTTGTATCAAACACGTTGCTCATGAATTTGACCCTTACCAAACTCGGACTGCAGGCCATATCCAACGGCAACTGGCTGTGCAGAAAACCGCAGTAGAGGCAAAAAATCTAATCAAGCCTCCTCAGATGGTTTTTCAGCTCTAATCCTGTGCAGCAAGATGAGACCACAATTTCAAACAAGTGAGTGGCTGCCCAGCTGGCACTTATCAGAGAGAGCAGGGATCTCTGTGCTTAAGATGTTCCAACAGTGCAGCTTTTGCTGGAGGACGAGGCCATTCCCCCACACCTAATCAGAGCTCCAGGATGGAATCCAGGAGGGAGGGAATTACAGCACCTGGTGCTCAGCCAAGAACCAAGCACATGAGTTGCACTGCATCCCTTTTTCCTGTCCTTTCCCAGACAGGATCTGTTTCTCTCCTGTCCTCACTGCAGCTCCTCCTTTCCAGGCAGTGGCCTGCCTGCATCCTGCCCCACCACTGCCCTGGGCCAGGGCTCAGGAGCCCCCAGTGCCAGCTGCCCAGTTGCTCATTCTCCATGAGTTTCTAACCCACATACTTCCAATTCTAACAGGAAAACAGAATAGCTGCACATTACTTTGGAAAATCCTTCTGAACCACACATTTAGAAGGCACAGTACATGTTAGACATAGTAAATGTTAATTCTGCAGTGACTGATTTTCCTCATATGCATAAAAAGACTAAAATAACAAAATAAGTGACATGATGAGGGAAGTCAGCTCTTGAGAAGCTGACAACAATTCAAGACCTCCTGACACACAGATTCACCTCAAAATATTATTCTGCACGTTTTAGCCATGACTAACCTATGTCCAATGGCAGAAGTTCTGCTATTATGCCTATTTGCACAATTATGCCTATTAGCTTGAAGAGTTTACTAACATTCTGAAACGTGGAGAGTGGAAATTATTTAGAATTTAGTTTCAGATAGAAACATGTCCTTTGTCTATCATCAGCTACAGTGTTTATAGAGTTGTCTTGCCAAAACATTTAAAAATTCTTAATTTCCCTGCTGCTCTGTGTGAAGCCCCTTCAAATATTATGGGGAAATTACTGCAGAACTGCAAATAAGGCTGTAGGTGCACAATCCCTTCCTTCCTGCACCTGCAGGAAGAACATTTTCCTTGTCCTACCTCAACCACCGGCTGTCATCCCAGCTCTGATAGACAGGGAGCAAACCCGGTTCAGCTGAAAAGCTCCCAAAAGAACACAAAATAAACAAGGTTTATTTTGGTAGAGGAGTTCCTGAACCAGCTCACCCTGCAGCTCCACAAACACAGACACGCTCAGAGGCAGAGCATGCTCACTGGAGTGTCCCTCGCAGAGGCAGCCTTGTTTTATGGTAGATTACAGCAAGCCTGTAAAACACTGAAATGCTGCATGCAAACACCACCAGACAAAATTAACAGATACTGAAAGTATTAAGAATGGTAACAGTTCATTCCAACAGAAGCTCTAACCTGCATAACACAAGCTACAGGATTCTCCAAGCTATTGCATCAGTATTTGCCTCTGAAAATGGGATTCAATTTCGGTTACAGACTCCAAGTAACTAAAAATATAATGCTCATTATGTAAATTCATTCTTCAAACTAAAACAGAAGAACAACCACATGACAAACAACTCACCCTCCACAAGAAACACAATTTCCCTTCTGAAATCATCTAGCGCCTACTACACCTTTTTATGACTTCATATGCTAAAAGAACATGTCTTAATTTAGCTATTAAATGGGCCAGCCACCAGAGATATTTTTCCTATAGTTACAAGAGCATGAACAAAAACCACTTTTACACTGTGGAGTAACAAATTAAACCTTTCAAAGTAAAGCAAAGAGCAGCTGCAAATTCAGCTTCTACCAGTGATTAAAGAAACAACCATTTTAGATAAATTTAAAGATTTTTTTTAGATAAATAATAAATTCTGATAAATTTGTTAAAGGTAAATAAAATTCAGATACTTCAACTTACTTTTCACCTTTGGTTTTGGTTTTCCTTCTTTCACTTTTGCTCCTGTGATAGCAGCAAGCTCTGCTTCAAGGTCCCCATCATCCTCACCTTCCTCTGCACCCAGCAGCATCTCTTCAGGATTGAAATCCACAAACAACCCCAGCTGGAGCCAAGGGAAAATAACAATACGGAATAATAAAATACCCTACAGTTAGAACAAAGATGACACTCAAAAGCATTACACTGCATGGATTATTTAGACATTTTCATGCATTTTGAATTCATTTTTTTACAGTCTGCTATCATACCACTTCTATTACCACAACAATGCATTCCAGGCACCCACAACTGGTGTAAGGTACATAAATCTTAATTCCCCACAAGTATTCCCTTTAAAACTCTACATAAACCATTTCTTAAAATCAATCCTATTTAATAGTTTGACATAACAAGGTAGAATAAAATGTTTGTTTTACTGAGCTTCATGGAGTAGATACCACCAGGGAAGTTCAGGGCAGTGCCTGTAACAGCTAAGCTAAAAAATATTCACTCTTCATTCACACACAACAGGTCTGACATCTGCACACTGCAGAGATTTCATCCTTATCTCTTGAAGAAGCCACATTTATGAACACAGAACTGTTCTGTCTTCTTTTCTTACATCAGTTTCTAAATCCCATAGAAACAAACACAGCCATTAAAACCCAGCAATGCCCACACTGCACTGAAGAAAACCATCAAACTGGCTGGCACAGATCATCAGCTACAAGATAACATCTCAGGGAATAGTATTAATAACAGGAATCAGGATATGATAGTAGGGGTTATCACTCTCTTGTGGCAAAACATTCCAAAGTACATCAGAGGAATCTCTGGAGTCTTAGACCAAAAGGTATTCTTTTAAAATGCCTATTTATCACATTTTTTTTTTTAAATTCTGGTTAAGATACTAACTGTCCCAGAAACTTTATAAAAGCATCTCAAGTATGCTAAGATTTTTTATAAATATGAATGAACAGAATTAAGATTCATCCTATGAGGTAGGTGAAGCTTTCCTCAGACTTTTCCAAAGCACAAGCTTTGGAAATCAACTTATTGATCCCCACATGGCCAAGGAGGCAGCACTTCAGCTTCTCTCCAGCACAGGAAAAAAACATCAGCTGTCATTATTCTGAGGGTTAGGAATCTCTTTCTGTCTCGAGGATCTGAAGTGCTGCAAGAAGCTGTCTGAAACTTTATAAATTAACATGAATAATAATTTTTTTTTTTAACCCAGTAGGAATCAAAGTGCTGGTGACTACTGCCCTGAAACATCCTGTGCCCTTCTTTGGACCATTTTATAATCCCAAAGGAGAATGTGAAACATATAGCTAAGAAACACTGGTTCCAAGGACCAGCAACAGCACTCAAAATCAGGTGTTTGTTTCCTACCCCTGATCCTGCCCTTGACATTCCTGAAGACACTGGGCAGATCAGTCAGCCACCCTCTGCCTTATCCATCTCCCAGCTGTAAGGCAAAACTAAAGTATTTTCACACTTGGCTAGAACAGAAAGAAGGTGAGAACAAGATTTAAATAGGAAATATTTATAATGGTGATCTAAAGATTCAAGTTCTATGGAACACACATAGACCTTTCATCAAGGTGCAGAACGGATCAGGAGCACACATGATCAGTTCATTACCACTCTGCAAGTGTGGAGAGTAAAGAATGCAGCAACCACGGGAAGTCAAGAACACAATTCAGCAATTCTAGCTCCAAGTCCCAATACATTCAATAAGGAACATTTCCAATGAAATTAGTAGTACTGAAGCAATGTTTAAACAGAAGAAATAAGTTATAAAAAGCTTGCAGCTGATACACTACACAACAAGAAACCATTTTAAGTTGAATTAATTTGAAAGCGAACAAGCCGTTTGTTTCAAGAAACACTCATCCATGCTGTAAGACAGGCTGAATAATTAACTGTATTGAATTAGAAATTAGTAAAATATGTTAATCAGAGCCTCGATTTACTCTCTGTCCTTTCAAAATGAGGTTTCTTTTTTTTTCCCCAAAAGGCGGAAAGAGATTTTCATCTTTTATCTTCTCCCCTGCTCAGATTAACTAAGTTCTACACCATCTCTCTCACTAGAGAAATGCAAACTTCCACACTGGGGGCATGGTGACATTATGGATCACTAACTGCAGCATTCTGCCATCAGTATGAGAACTCTGGTTCCTCAGAAATCACCAGAAGAGAATCTTAGCTATTTTCTCTATTCTAATAACCTGTTACAATTCCTTTTCACATTTCTCTATATTCTTACCAATTATTCCACCTGTTACTTGCCTCTATTCTACCTTCAATGGTTTCTGAAATTCTGTTCTGGTTCTAACATATTCTTTTAACTTGAACTACATTTTTTTTTTCTGTCAGCTTTCTACCCAGAATTTTGTCTTGACTGTATTTCTAATTTTGACACTGTCACCTGACTTTCTACACCTGCCAACCATGACTAATTATTGTTTCTCTCCATAAGACTTCTGAAACTCCATCTCAGGGTAGATAAGTATGGAAGAAAACCCCAACACACAGACACAGTTAAACTCACTTATCTCGGGAAAGGGGCATAGGCTTATCAGTCTATCTATTACATGAAAAAATGACAAAAGACAGGGAAATTAAAATTAACTGCCTCTTGTTTAGCACCTTAATATTCTCCCATATATGTCCCTTAATTTGTTACCTGATATTCTGCTGTTCTTATTCCTGTTTTCTTAAGAGAGATAAGGAAAACTTCCACAGAGTCACTTGTTATTAAATCTCAACATAGCTCTGCTAAGAAATACTGTAAGCATGAGTCATGAGGTCTCATGCAAAGATTACAGCATTACAACACTGTGCCTGCCCTGCGAGACCTCCACAGCTGCCTATCAGATATTTACTTGAAGAATGCACTAAAGAAGGAAGGAAAACAAGCACCGCACAATCTAATTTTTCCCATGATCCTGCAATGCTATTAACACATGGGAGATTCTGCAGGAAAACAGCAGCAAGAGGTCTGAACGAGACTATCCTGAGGAGCAGTGGGAGTAGGAGGCTTCCCTGCCTGCTCTGCAACCACATCTCCCTGGCCCTTTGCCCTTCTTACCTGCTTTGCAACTGCAGCTCCCTGGCCCTTTGCCTGAGGGCTCTTTTTAGGTCTTCTGCCAAGCATGTTGGTTCATGAATTTCAGAGGGCTGTGTCTCTATAGGACTGAGAGCACACGGAACTTAAAGTCAGTGCCCTGCCTGTGCCAAGGCAGAGCCCGCCGGACGGAGGCGGCCGGCTCGACCCCGCCGCTTTCCCGGCCCTCCCTCACAGGGCTCCCGCACCGTGAGGGCAGCGGGGGCAGCGCAGCGGGACGCGCTCCGCGGGGCCCGGGGAGCCCGGCCCGGCCGCACCCGCGCTCCGCCCGGGCAGCTCGGCGGGACCCTGCGGGCAGAGCCGGCTGCGGGCGCTCCCCGGCCGGCGCAGGGACGGGCCGCGGAGGCGATGGGCCGGGAGCCGCGCGAAGAAGCGCGCAAGGGCCGCCCGAAGAGAGCCCGGCCCCGGCTCACCTCGCCTCCCGCCCGTGCGGCCGCAGCTCCGCCCGGCGCGGCTCGGGGAGGGCCCGCCCGCGGCGGCTGCGCGGAGCGGCGGAGGGGCGGGCCCGGAGCCGCGGCCCCGCGGGTTCCGTCCCGGCTTCCCTGCACACATTCCCGCACACATCGCCGGCACCGCCGCGGCTGCAGAGGGGTGATCCGTGATAGCGATCGGTCAGACAAAGGAGTTGGGTGTTCGAATGGCACAATCCGTGCGCTATTGTTACCGTCTCCTGCATTCCAGCATCGAGCCTACCTTGCAAACTGGAAGCTCCTTTTAATTATGTTGGATTGCAACCTGGACGTTCCTTTTAATTACGTTAGTAAGGAAAAGTTTAGGCGCATTTTAACAATGCCTTTCATTGAGTGTAAAAGTCACTGAGGAAAATCTGCAGAATGCCAAAGACACCATAAACCTTAAAAAAAAACAGTAATGCAGGTAATCTTCTTCGAATTATCCATCCCAAGTTCATACACCTCGATTAAAAGGGGACCAGCTACCAGCACTTAAAAATACTTCTAAAAACAAATAGTTTGAAACACTAATTAATTTAAAATGCTTTGAAATTCATTCTTTATTATTAAAAAAGAGAACATCAAACAAATAAGCAAAGCATTTTTAAAAAAATACATTTCAGCATTTCCATTTTAGCAATAATTAAAAAAAATAAAAATAGACTGTATTTAAAATATTTATACATACTAAAAGCAATAGAATCTCTTTTGCTTTATTCTTCCTTGAGTGCATACATGACATCGTCCTGGCTGAGGTTCAGTCGCACCCGCATGTGCAGGTATTTATTGCTGGCCTCCAACAGCAAGAGCCTGCAGGCACCAAGTCTTGAACAAATTGCCATGATTTCTGACACCGTAGGGCTCTGCAGGCCTTCCATCCTGCTCAAGGCCACGTGGTGGTGGTAGATCTGTTGAAAAAAGAGAAAAAGGACACAGGTTATGTTTACTGCCTGCTGCAACTGAGTGTGCCAAGGTGACACAGAGAGAAGCTGCCTTCCCCCCACACCCATGGGACAGGAGATAAAATAGCTCCAGCCTGTTGAGATGCTGTAATTTTACACAAAACTGTTTAGAACTATATCTTTCTATAAGTATTAACATTTAGCTTCCACACTACTCATGACTACTACAGTCTTCACAATTCTGCTGGCACCCAGTATTTTATGGGTCTACTAAAAAAAACCAAAGCCACCAGTGACAAATCTGCCTCTATGAAGAAAAACAGTGATGCACAAGTAGGAATCAACTTTCAGTTTCCTCCTTGGACTGTTGCCTGATAATTTCAGCTTCTCTTTGATGCTTACTGTTATAAAGCATGTTAGGGTAGAAGCATGAGATTGCATGTCTTAACATGCAGGCTATAAATAATAAAACCACCTTGTGATCCAGATCACTGGTGTCAGTAACAAAAAAGCCCCATACCTGTTGAACTGTCGCCTCTTCAACTCCTGCCCTGCGAAACTCTGCCAAAACTGCTTTCAAGAAGAGTTGTTCATGCAATGAAGCATTCCTGAGTCAAAAACCAAAACAGACAAAAATCCATTTGTGAAGTTCAGAACCTATGAAACATCAGGAGGAAGTCTTGATGGAAGGGAAATTGCTTGGGAGCTACATATTTAAACACAAGGTGGGCAGTCACAAGTGGCCATTGTATCACAGCCTGCAACTCTGCCATCACAATTTTTGTTTTTGAAAAACTAGTGCTGTGAAAGAGACGCAAAAGCAAAGGAAATATTTTTACCTGATTGCATTGACATATGGTGATGAGAACATTTCATCTATGGCTTCAGTCACGTGCACCATCCTGACAGTCTCTGGGGTTTTCTTCTGCGCAGCGAACTCGCAGATCTCTGTGGCCCTTCTGCAGATATCCAGGCACCGCCGGGCATCCCCAGACAGCGCTGCCACCTGCAAGTGCACATGACAGATTTGTGACAACATTTCCCAACACCTGGGGAAAGAGTTGAGTAAGAATCAACAGACAGACAAACCCCAAACACTCTGAGCATCTGGTGGGAGAGCAACACATCTCTGAACTATCTTACTACAATCCCAGATCCTGAACAACAAAGCTTACTGACCAAAACCAACAGAAGCGACTCTCCACATCTCCCACACCCCCACCCTGACCTGGTCATCTTAAATTCAAGGCTGAACTTTTTTCTGTAACACAAGTTAGAGGTTAAAAAAAAGATTAAAGGTGAGCAGTTCATTTCAACATCAAAAGTTTTCAGAAGTATCAGTTTAATTATCAGTGAAGACCTTTACCATAATCCACATTCATGCAAAAAAAAAATAAAAATAAAGAGGTGGTGGCTATGACACCAAAAAACTCAGTTTTTCTATACTCATTAAAATACTGATTTTAAGAGTACACTAATAATTTCAGAAGATCTCAAAGAAATGTCTAAGATAGTTTACATTTACAAGTTCCTGGAAATTTTTAGGTGTCTAAAATTTCTGAAACTAAATACTTGTTAAAACCCAAATTGTGCTTTACAGTTTTAATAAAGCTATGAACTTCACTACATATAGTACTGGCCTATTTTTCCCAGTAGATGCTGATAATATACAAAAGCTCTAGAACCCAGATGGGGCCAAGAATGAGAAACCCCGTAGAAAATCTAATTGCAAGGTATATTTCTGTATTTTCAGAAGAGAACTCATACTAGAAAAACACTGCAATTATTCCCCCTGCAAAACCATCCCTCTGCAACCAAAAAACTATTATTCTTACAGAGAGGTGGTTCCTTCACAACAAAACACATGATTGTATTTACTTCTGACATATTCATGAGCACTCTTTTTAAATCCTACAATGATGTAGGATGTTTTGACATAATTTTAATACATTACTTCAATATGGAGCTGCTAATATAACACATTAGCAGTGCACATATCTCAATCTGAGAAGCTACTGATCCCCAATGCATTACTTACCTTTTGTACAACTGAGTATTAAGACTTGCAAACAGAACAGGTATTATCTATTATGACAGGGCACTAAACATCTTGAGAAATAAAATTAATAAGGCTATTTCCACTGCCACTGGCATGCTATCTTTTTCAGGATTCTTCAATGACTCACATTATGCTAAACAGTGGAGACAGTTGACATCTTATCATCACGACTCTTGTCATGCCTTCAGCTCTTGGAATATGCTGCTGCCTTCTCAGAGTAGGTGGAAAAAGCAAGGACACTGCTCTAGCAATGTCTTTTGAGAAAATACTCTGAATAATATATGATCTAATTGTGCCCCACTTGCCTCCAATACAGAACCCAACCACAGAATCAGGTCTAACAGCTATTACAGAACTCTCCCTGCTGTCCCCACACTTTTCACCACGTGCAACATGAAGGACACTTATCTGCTCTGCTCACCTTTCTGGAAACCAGCTGAACTGCATCCTCTTCAAATGCCTTCACACCCTTCAGTCTGGATGAAATGATTTGCTGTAACTGTTTGTAGGTGTAGGGCTGAAAGGACATTCTGGTGAGGCCCTACAACAAATGACACAACACAGTGAGAAGTGTTTGAACTCTCCACTGCTCAAGCATGACCTGTGTGTTTACTTTTACTTTTTCTGGTAGGACCAATCAGTCTTTCACATCCTTTCCCTCCTAGTAACATGCTTTACTCAATCACATTTGTGAAAAAAATGTACAAATCCACAAAACTGTGACTCAATGAGGACCACTGGCTGGATCTCCCCACTGAAAGGCCCAAGGAGCAAGTGAAGCTGCTACCAGAATTCAGATTTATCTTATAAAAAACTTTTAAACAAATCAGAGATCCCCAATACAAAAATATTTTGATTACATCTGTCTGCACATTATTTTTGAATATAATAACAACAGCAACTGTGGAAAAATATCTCCTTTAGCAAATCTGTGTGTTTGTTGACTTCAAGTTAGCCACCAGCCAAGAATTAAAACTCTCTTCTAGCTCAAGCAAATAAGAACTGCCCTCAGATGAGGACAATCTATGGTGCAGATGGCACACTGCCTTTCATCCCACAGGAGACCTGAGTTTTTAATTTCTTATGCAAAACTCTTCTCTTGTGACTATGTGGACTCAGCTGATCTGCAGTGGGCTTAGTGGGTGGGGGAAAGCAATTCACACCCTGTGGAGCTGTTTTTGAGTCATGGAAGGATAGAGGCACAGAGCACTGTTTTTGCAAATAACTTTTCAGAGCCGTGGTGAGATGACCTAGGAAAATGTATTCAAAACAAGTGGAGAGAGCATCCAGTTTTCTTTGCTGGATACCTTTATATAATCTACCAACTGATGATGGCAAACAGACAAGTAAATAGATGCCTGGAATGAAAGGGAAAAGAGGTAGGGAAACCAGAAGAGAATTCTTCTGAACTCTAGAGTAAGCAGCTTAACCATGAAGCACAGCATTTGATTATCCAAATCTTAACATATTTAAATAAGGCATCCATATTCTTATTTCATTCTTACAAGAACATAGTGTATGTACACAGCATAATACCTGATTAGCAAACAGGCTCCTGAACTTACTTTGCTAAAATTTATATGTTCATTATCAGTCCTCTGGAGAGGGTATTATAAAAAACATTGTTCAGCTTCTGATATAACCAATCCTGCTTTTCTCCTGGATTGCTTTTGATTGCATCCAGTATTTAATCTCTTCTCCTTTTATGGCATAGCAACAGAATTGCTAGGACATACCAGCCGGCTTGCTACTCTGTTCATCATAATTCTCTCTGGCAGGTCCATGGTGTTGGCAATGGCCAGGATGATTAGCTTGGAGTGCTTTTGGGTTGGCCAGTCAAATAAGTTGTACATCACATTCTGCTTCCGGGTCCACAGCAGATCAAGCTGCAGAGATAAAAAGAGAAGAATCAGACTGGAAAAAGGAATGGCCTCTTGTTTACAATACCTCATGGGGGTTTGAGAACCAGCTCTGCCACAGATTTCTCACATGATTCTGAACAAGCTGGCTATGTTGCCTTTCCTTTATCCATCTAC